AATCCCCAGGTAAGGAAAGGTCATGCAGCGCTATGATAAAGTACTGTGGCAAAAATGTTGAAAATAGTTTACGATTAGGGCAAAATAAGTTACTGTCAAAAGTTGTAGTAATGTAGTGAAAAGGGTAAAGAGGAAAGAGCAAACGGAGTACGAAGGCCGTTCAGGACACGCAAGCCAGCCTTTCAACGTTTCAGCACAGGCTCTTACACGTTTATAGGATGTAGACAAAAGAAGGGGATAAAGAAGAGAAGAGAGAGAGAAATAGAAAGAATTGAGGCGAGGGCTGAGGCCCAAGGTAGAGGTGGTCCCCTACATTGGGCCTCAGTCTCCGTCTCTTGAGCTCCTCACGACAATGAGCAATAATAGGGGGTGAGAAATAATAGTGGGTGAGGGTGGGGGGGTGAATAAGTTTTCGGTAACCCTCTGGAGGTTTTGGCATGGAAGCTTTTTTTTGGACTACCTTTCTTGGTATTCATGGGTCATCTACACTATTTCAGAGAAACATTAATGTAATTTCAGACCCCCAAATGTCTGGGTTTGCTAATTAAGACGCCTACTAATTAACGTTCTAATTACGCTTTCAAGATTATTTTGTAACCACAGATCATTCATTTTGTTAACTTTTTACCATGACGTTTTAATTAGGAACCCCAGACATTTTGGTGTCTTAATTAACATATAGTTCCTTTGAAATAAAATTTTATCTACAGCATCAATCAAAATATGTGTACTCCCTCTTTTATACAAAATGTTTTGAGGGCTCTTAAACCACCCCCATCTTATCCACAAACATCAGGAAAAATCACGTCTTAAGTTGAGGATATGGTATCTGGGGGCCAACAAAAGTATCTTCTGCAAAAATAATTTTTGTTGTAATTGAAACGTTATAATAAAATTGAACCATATACTATCATAAACAGATGAATATTAGATTGCAGTTACAGTGCGTAGGGTTAGATACTGATGATTATATGACTCCCTGCATTACTTTCTTATTTATTGCAGAGGATAAAATAATATACAATAAGTACATTAACCCAATACTGTAACAACATTCAACAACATAAAATGCACAAGCATCTCTATAGAAAATGTATTAGATGTATAACCAGAAAATGCGACACTGAACCTGTAAACTTGATTTATCTAAAATGTATAAGACTATTTATTGGGAGTGTGTTGCAGGGCTCAAGGTTTAAAGTCAAGTTGTGGGAATGTAGCTCCGCCTTCAGTGTTGCCTAACTGGAACACCCAGCTGAAGTTAGATCGGATGAAATTTCCGCCGCGAAATATTAGTTCATACCAGGATGGTTTCAGCAATTTATATTTTTGATTTATTTTTACAGGGGAAATATCTCACTATTGCTTTAAACACTTTTCATTTGTATCAAACCATCTGTAATCATAAATAGAACAAAAATAAAGCCTACGGGAAAAAATCTGTAGGTTCTTTATATTACCTGTCATCAGACTCTTAATTTCAATACAGTGAAAGAGCAATATAACATGGTCTTGTATTGAATTCATTTAATTTTTCTTAGAATAACGAAATAAGAATTCACATATAGATAGGGAAATCTTGATCCACCATTTTTCGTCTGCTAACGTACACTTGTAGAGGGGGATACTTAGAAGTCTACGTTTTGTAGACTTGTAATAATTATGAAAATTATAGATACCTTACGAATCTATTATAATCCTAACTCCATTATTATTATTATGACAGTTATCAGTGTTATTCATATTATCATAATTCCGTCATAAGGATAATATTAGATATCATTATTACTATCATCACCATCATTACCATTATTATTACTACTACTATCATTATTATTTTCCCATTATAATTATTACTATTATTAGCATAGGGAAGCCGAAAGGGAGGGAAACGGTGGGGGCCTGAGAGAAAAGAGGGTGGGGAGGGAGGGAAGGAGAAAAGGAAGCGAATGAGGTGGGGGTGTTCAGGAGGAAGAGGAGGGTAGTTGGAGGGGGGCAGGATGTAGGGCTTAAAGGGAGGGAAGGAGTGACCTAGAGGGAGATTTAGGAGTGAGAGGGAAAAAGCAGAGGTTGAAGGAACTGGAAAGAAAAAGGAGGACAGGGAGGGGGTGGGGTGAGTGAGAGGGAAGTAGCATTTTTTCTTTACGTGGAATTTCCACGGATTCCGATAGTTAATCCTAATATTAAAAATTAAGATAAATTTACTGCTTACTACCATTATTTGATTTACTATTACTACTACTATTAATATTGTTATCATTGTTATTACTACTACTGTTATCACTATTGGCTATTAACATCTTTATCCTGCTTCTTAATAACTGCTGTTACTACAAGTGTTGATCATTCTTAATATTACTTTTAGGATGAAAATGACAAATAATAATAACAATCAGTGATTTTAATTTCAATACCTGACTGCATTCATTTGTTGAGCATAACGTCTAAATTAAAAAAATATAAGTTCAATAATTTTTAGGAGAGACACTGGAGGTATTCAAATTGATTTATTTCAAAATTCAAATAACAGAGTACCACGTACCTGATTAATCAACGGCGTTTCTGAAATAGCGTGCATTTAGCGTACAAAATATATCATTAAGCAACATATATATCACGCATACGACATAACCGCAACATTTATGATTTGAGAGTCGTTTGTCAAAGAACTGGTGTTTCGCCCGCTGAATCATCCTTAGTCCCACTTTGGGTTTTCATATCATGTCTACGTATTCTATAGTGACTGCATTTCGTTTCCACTTATCTTTTCCGAATACAAAAGTCTGAGTCCTAATGCTACACTTTCTATAGAGGGATTCACATTGCATCAGCTCTTTTTTTTCTATTTTAGTTCTGCAGTTCTCCCTTGGCGCAGTTGCACATAATTTCGCTTTTCCCAAATGTCTCGTGCTCATTAACGGCGGACTTTTGCCACGTACGTTTCCACTTGACTTTCGCGAGATTTTTTATTTATTTATATATAATCCCATGTGTTAGGATATTCCTTTCCGAGCATTTGGAATTTATAGCTTTGAGGATACCAATAATCAGCGTTGTGTTTATTATATAATACAATACCTAGTTCTACCACATTTTATGCCCTATAAGATTACGGCCGTTTTCCTTGATTATCAGTACAAATTACTACCTGTGATTGTTCAACTTTCTACAAAATCATTACTGTTTACTTTCGTCAAATCAGTAAATGCAGAAGCGACATTATTTGCCTCTTCTAGTACTTCGGATTGACTGTTTGAAGTTTACATTTAATTTTGTTTCACGTTGGATGTGGTTTTATTAAACTTTCTTAGAGCATTTGCTTTCATTTGGCCACCGCTCCACTTTCTTGACTTTTACTTCTACATTTATTGCAGAACAAATAATTATGCATTCTCTCAATAAATAATTGAATTTCAGCATATTTAATTATTCATATTTTTTCAAATTCATGTTTTTCTTGGAGCAATTTTGTACACCATGTTATCGGGCTCTCCGCAATGGCTTCGAAAAAACTCATTTATATACGTTTCTTATGGTTCGCTGTCCCCATTAAACAAACAAAGCAAAACTTTGCTCCCCGTTACTTGTCTCAAAGATTCACGGCCACTCCTTGACTCTCTTCCCGAATTGCAAAACTATTTTTTTCACATTTTTTCACTTTATGACATGAGTTTTCCTTCAATATGATCTTTGCACAATTAGATAAGCAAAGACAAGCACATTAGATCGCTTACTAGTATTCTGCTGGTTTGTTGGATTAGTCTGTGAGAGTGAGACTGAGTGTGAGTTTGTGTTTGAGCGCACGAGCGAGTGAATTCCTGTTCTTCCAAAACCAGTAGCAGAATTCTCACCTCCCGATACATTCAAGGCAGAATAGGTGATGCTGCGAGCGCTGACACGTGCCCATTCTGTCCCTGCTCAGGTTGTCTGAGCAGCAGATCGCACACTCGTAGGTCCGCGAATCCTGTGTGGGACAAGACAAGCAGATGGAACTCAGCTTTATTAAACAAAATACAGCGCTTTTTCACATCACTGGAGCACCATGCTACCGCAGTCGTGTGTGTTCAGAAGAAAATAAAATTGGTTTTAATGTAATAAAGAAATTAATAAAGAATAGCAGCTAGACGGTGACTATGTTCCTTGTGGGACCTCCCTACATTTCATTAGGTTTGATTAGAATTACATATATGGCAAATTGATTCCTTTATTTGAGCTGAAACAAATATTTCATATTAACTGTGCAAAAATATTTAAACAAAGTTCACCAAAATTTAACGTAAACTTCTTGCAGTTTAGTAATAATTTGTCACTGAATAGTGTGTGTGTTTATGTGTGTGTGTGTGCGCGCGCACACACACACATACACACACATACACACACACACACACACACACACACACACACACACACACACACACACACACACACACACAATGTAACATCTCTCTCTTTATAATATATATGCGTATATATAATACATATATATATATATATATATATATATATATATATTAATATATATATATACACACTTATATATATATATATATATATAATATATATATATAATATACATATATATATATACATACACATTAATATATATTATATATATATATATATATATATATAATATATATATATATATATATATGCACATATATATATCATATACATATATATGTATACACACACACACACACACACACACACACACACACACACACACACACACACACACACACACACACACACATATATATATATACATACATATATATATATATATATATATATATATATATATATATATAATATTATATGTGTGTGTGTGTGTGTGTGTGTGTGTGTGTTGTGTATACAATTTATGTAGGCGTATGTGTATATATGTATGTTATAAGTATACAGTATATGTATTAGTAATATATGTACACGTCACACACACACCAATATATAAAATATATAAATATATAATGTGTGTGTGTTTGTGTGTTTTGTGT